TCTATGCATTTGTTTTCCTTTTAATCACTTTTTAAAAACTATCCTGTCCTTGCTAGATTTTGTTTTATTTATTGGCATGCCAAACTAGTCAAACAGGACTCTCACCATTGCTGGCTATTTTTTTTTATGTGTCACAGGGTTTTTCCCAGGTCTCAAAGGAAAACATGCACGTAGGTGGCAAATGCAAACAGAGAAGGGTTACTTGTGGGCATACTGAAGTTGGCAAGTGAAGAAAATGCTCAGTGGTTACAAACAAGCAATTCTCACTTCTCTGTATGTTGGATGTGTGTTTGATGTGACCAAAATGAATAGAAATACACTAACCACGTGTAACAGAGTGTTTCTGGAAAGACAAATGTCTGCCCCTCTTCCTACTTCTTCCCCCAGCTTTTATTGCTGAGCACAGCATCACATTGTATGGAATATCCTTTTCATCAGCTGGGGTCAGCTGTCCCAGCTGTGTCCCTGCCCACCTTCTTGTGCACCCCCAACCTCTTTGCTGGTGGGGCATTGTGAGAAGAAGAAAAGACCTTGACACTGTACAAGAACTGCTCAACAACAACCAGAACATCTCTGTCTTGTCAACACTCCTTTAATCACAATTTTAAAACAAACCACTATACAAGAAATTGTGAAGGAAACTAACTCTATCCCAACCAAAAGCAGCATATCAAATTTATTTTCTGAATATATTATTGTGCAGGAAGCCCAGATGGCTAAATGACAACAGAAGATAGTGTGGAAGAAATCCCCAAATTAGCTGGCACAGTAACAATGTGAAACAGGAGTTCAGCTCTCAAATTTCCGAACTCAGCACAGATGTCAAATGAAATAATGTGAAACCCTGGAAAAAAAATTATTTAAAGCAACCTTTTTTTAAGTACCTAGTTATCTTACATGCTTCTGTATCTTGTTTGCATACTCTTCATGCATGCCTACAGAAAATACTCTGGAAATTGTCTGAACTTTTCTGCAAGTCTGAACTTTGTAGTTCTCAAAATGCTTTTGAATCTGCTATGCAATTACCACTAAAAACAAAGATTATAATAATAATGTAGCATTTCATCATTTCACCATGAATGTAAGTCCAGGAGTAAAACCTTACAGTTCCTGAGTTTTAAAAAAAGCAAATATGCTTTGCATAAACAGAAGAGACTTTGGGTGTAGATTACTTGAAAAAGTGATTGTATATACACAGACCTTTAAATGGATTTCAGTGGTTAGGAGCCTGCAAAGATGAGAACGAAAAACTGGAAAAAAAAGAAATTTACTGTATTGTAAATTGTCGATCTATCTAATTTCTGACCTTCAGCAATATCACTCTGAATAACAGAGTGTTGTTCCTCAGTGCTGTGGGGAAAAAATGATTATGCCTTTGTTCTCACAGGCATCACTATTTTAGTATACTACTGTACTACAGCAGGTGAAGTTATGTCTGTCTTAATTTCAGGGTTTTTTAATTGGGCTCCTTTACTTTTTGTTATGGGCCCATACTGACTGTACGAGTTTTCATACCTTTTGCACAGAGCTCAGGGCATGAGTGGAGGTGCCATGCAGACAAGTACATTTTAGGCTTCTTTGAATTGTTAGCTATGAGGAATATCTCACAGGTTTGAGATTTTTTCTGTATTTAGCCCCAGGAAAATATCTTTCTTTAAAAGTCTTATTTTCTAACTGGCTGTGAACATTAGTTTCAGTGTTAGGTTACAATGTGATGCTGAGAAGGGAACTTATTTATTGCAGAGCTGCAAAACCCCCAAAAGCAGTGTGTGGGTCTATAATATAATAAAGCTAGGAAAGGTTTTGATTGTATCTTTTCCTGTCAGGGAGTGGCCCCAAACTAAAGAGTTTTAAAAGGCAAATTGGCAGATTATCCCATACTCAAAAACTATATGAAAGTATTCAGGGAAGGAGCTGCTGAAGTAGTGAAGAAAGAGAATGACAGAAACAGAAAACTTCTTTTTTCCTTCCTACAAAAAAAAAAATCCAGTCAAAATTCCAGATATAGAGGTATTTAAAATATGAAGACAAATATAAATCTAGAGGAAGTACTGCATAGCACAGATCAACAAAATGGCTGTCAGAAACACTTATGGCCAACAACACAGACATAACTGTTGTAAACTAAAGGATCTATTTAATATTATTAATACTAAACATTAATAAGATTTAATATTAATAAATAGCAATATTTAATGTTATCAATATCTACTATTGATATCAATATCGATTATTGATAATATTAGATAATATAATAAGATAATATTAGACAATATTATTAATATTAATATTAATATTATCAGTATCTTCTGTACAGTCAATAGGAGAGATGGTGGCTCACAAGCAGGAACAAATAAATACAAAGATTTTATTAATTTTGCATTCAATTATATGTCTGAATCTTTGGACTCAAATCTTTGGAAAGTACTGGAGGGTTTTGACTAGACCTTCCCAAGAAAATGCTGAGTTCCTGACTATTTCACTTTACCCTTTTCCTCTTATTTGTGATCAGACGTGCTATGGTTCAAAAATGCCCTCACTTTTCAGAATTCATATATATATTTGTGTTTAAGTAGGTCACCTCTTGTGTATTATGAGGAGGTAGTTCTGACACTGGATCATTTGTGTTGATGGTTCAAGAAGAGAAGCACCATGGTGGTTACTTTTGTAGCTGGCCAAGGCAATGTTGCTTCAGATTCTCCCAGCACCCTGTTCAGCAACTACTGATTAGGGAAAGTCATCTTAAAAATGCTCAAAAACTACTTTCAATTATTCTTGTTTTACCTGAACAGTGTTCAACACTATACATAAACAGTCTTGAAGAAAAATTGTTGAACAAATATATAAATGGCAACTCCTGTTTGAAGTGAAGGAGAGGTGGAAATGCATTGGTACCATAAGTAAAAAGTATTTCAAAATATCCTATCCTTGTCTTTCACAGAGAATAGGAGGAGAGCATTGAGGCTGGTTGAGAAAAGGTGGTGGTTAAAGATCTTAGCCCAACCAAAAAACCTGGACTGACTACATGGCTTCTTTCAGCATAGGTTCCTCCAGACCATGAGTCTGTAGAAACTATTATGCTTTCAGCCCAGGAGAGCATCTAGGATCACCATCTGCTATTTGGTGAGCCACTCCTTCCACCAGCCCCACCCCAGGGAGATCGGTGTTTGTTAAAGGTCAGTTGCTTTAGAATGAGGATCAATACCCTGATAAGTGTGTGCTGGCTGTCCACAGCCAATGCCAGCTATGAAGCTGACCTTTTGCACATTGACATTTATGATCCATTCCTGATTATTCCATATGTGAAATATCATACCGTCTTCCCAGTGGGAGTGGCCGAGGCCCATCCCAAACTCTGAGCCACAGAAGGAAGAAGCATGCCAGCATTCTCAAGCATTTCAGCAGTATTTCCAGAGTATCATGTTAGAATGAGCCAGTCTCTATTGCTTTAACAGTCCAGGTCACTTTCCCCAGGAGACCAAGCAAATTAACAGGACTATAAGCTTGAGAAAAGACCTAACTCTAATCTGAATCCATTGGATTCTGTTTCATGTCTGCAATAAAATATAATAAGAGGAAGCACTATGGACATCCATGTGCAAAAGTAGCATAGATGCAGCTGCATCTGCCTTGTACCTCCTTAAAACCTATTCTTGTAATTTTATTATCTTTTAGTTGAAGTGCAAATAAATGAATTATTTACGCTGCTATGTCCTTGAGAATCTAGGAAAATCTTTCTCCTCAGTTTTCCATCCATGACCCAGACAGAACAATGCATAGCATGGTGTTGCCAAGTGGCTGTCACAGATGCTTGACTACACCAGTAAAAGAGTTAATTAGTATGTGTTGCAGATATTGTTACCCCAGAAGCTTGAATTTATTGATGTTTTATATTAAAGTTCCTAGATTAACTTAGAACTTCTCAGAGATTATAAAGAATAATTTATTCTGACACTGTAGGCTGGTTGATCTTACAGAGCAGTGTTTTCTTTCCTACCGGTTCTTTCCAACATACAGTCTCAGTGAATTCTTTGCAATAAAATTTTTTTTCAGCCAACCAATACATTTGATTAAGGAATAGGAAGGTGTTCCAAGGACAAGGTTTTCATGTATGCAGAGTGTTGATGGTAGAGTGTGCTTCTTTCGGAGCAGCAGAGAGGAAACAATTTGCAATTATCAACTGAGCATAAAACAGTAGTAAGACCAGAGGGTTTTCATATGGCTCATCTCAGAAATGCTTGCTTACATCTTCACTAGTTTCTTGTCTTGGATTGTAGATTTCTCAGGTCAGGACACAACTCTTGCCAGAGAGTTCTCAGTGCACAGCTGAGAGCTTGATTTAAATTCTGTAATTTCAGAGATAAAGTTAACTTTATTCTTAATATCAATAGTTAATGGCTCTAATTATTACCCTAATCATCTATGAACCAAGTATTTGTTGAATTGGTTCATTCCCATTTAGGAAGCTTTCAAAAAATCAACTTGACTCACAGTAATAATTTAAGGAGTGGTGTAAACATCAAATTCAGTGAACCATGATTATACACTGGCACATTATAAAACTGAGTTAGCTGTATCTCTTTTGCATGTGCATTCCTGAGAAAACTCTGTATAAATGTGTATTATATTGGCATTGTTGCCTCACTGTCCAACATGCATCCTTCCATGAGCATGAAAGGAAAACTTCTTCCCTGAAGAAAAGATAACTGCCCTGCAGTTTTCACTAAACTCTCAATGACTTTAAAAACCAGGACCTTGGCAGTTCATAGTTTAAACCAGAAATCGGTATTTGGAACATTGTACAAACTTTGTATAAAGAAATACCTGAAGTGGATTGTTGTGGAACAACAGATTTAATTAAAAAAAATTTGTGTGGACCCATATGTGACAATATAAACTATTGATCAGCTAATGCCTATTATTGATGCTAGAGAAGCTAACACAAAAATTGGCTCCTGATAGTTATTTTAGACACAAAGAAGCAGCCAAGACACTCCATATTTTTATTGTCAGCAAAATATATTTCATTCAACTATAAGCAAGTGGATCAAAACATTCATTCATCACATTATCATAAACTTCAGTAATGTAGAAGACAGTTTGAGGTTAGCACTTTCAGAGAGGGGAGGAATGTCTGCTTTGAAATAATTGCAATATTGTTAGGAAGGAGAGGAAAGACACCTTGCAACAGCAAGGAGCAGCAATACTATTTCAGAATTTTAGGACATAACTACACCAAAAAGCACAGAACATGAAGCAAATCTTGAAGCAGCACATTCATGCAGAATATTACAGTGAAAGTGTTCTGCCTCTGTGTGACTGAAGGCACTGCTTTTGCTGAGTCAGACCTAGATTGCATTGAAACAGTGCGAAGGTGATTCCAGTGCCTCCTATTACTTCATCACCTGAGATTCACACAGGTGAACTTCATGTATCTATGTCCAAATGACTGTGGGTAGGTAGTCATTAATACATTTATGTATTAAATTTGATATTCCAAACAACTGGTGTGCCCATTACATCTGCCACATTTCCACACCTCTAGTTTTGTTCTGTAGCCATTTATCCTACAGATAAATAAAATTATTCTAAAAATGCTCTGCATCATTGATCATCAACAAAAGACCTGGGAATCAATTTTCTATTGGTAAAATATTCTGCCCCCTTTTGCACAAGGTCTTTCTCCATGGTTTTGGTTTTTTTAAAATATGCAAGTCATTTTAGGAAACTGGAAGTCAAATTCCAATAGGAGCCAGTAAGAAATCTTTTTACAGTGAAGGTGGTGAAATACTGGAACAGGTTTTCCAGAGAGGTGATGGGTGCACCATCTCTGGAAACATTCAAGGTCTGGTTGGACAGGGCTTTGAGCAACCTGATCCAACTGAAGATGTGCCTGCTCAGTTTCTGGGCTACAGGACCTTTAAAGGTCCCCTCTTTCTATGATTCTCTATCCTATTTACATTAGGCAATTCCAAAGTCAGAAAATCAATCACACAGTTCTGAGGCTGTTGTTTGCAGGGGTTCTTTGCAGGAAGTTTGAAAGCTAAGGATCACAGGATGCAATTTTATGAAAGAAGGCACTTGGAGAGTGGATACCAAAATTTATAAAAGGTCAAGCACTGGTAACTGAATTATGTTCTGCTTCATGCCATGTCAAAGTGTTGCTTTAATTACTAAGATCAAATTACTCAGTGTTTATAACAATGAAAAAGAATGCAAAATCAGAACCAGGGCTTACACAACTTGTAATTCAATCTACATTATTATTATGATTATTATTGTTATTATTATTTTGTTACAAGGGGGAGTTATTTCATAGAAATGACAGTATGTTGTTCCATCATAGATGTATTTCAGTTTTCAAGCTATTTTTCAAACTAGTAAAAATTCTACTATATTTGGGGCCAGGGATAGGACCTGGAAATCATTAGTTCTCCCCCTCTTGCTATTGCCTATTCACTATGAAATAAAACTAATCTACAATAGAGCAACATTTCACAGTTCTGGTTAATGTACCACATTGCTCCCATTTCCATAGATCTCCAGTGAAAAGGCCAAAGCTTTTGGGAAGGACTGACAGCACTTTAGTGACTGAGACCAGGCAAGACCTTTAATTCAGTAACATTAGTCAACTGAAAAGCTTACAGAGTGACAAGTGACATCCTTCTGTCTGTCTTCCATTGGAGAAAAAAAAAATCAAGTAAGAGAAAGTGGGCATTTAAATAAAAACACACAATTGCAAAGATCATGATACTCATTACACAAGTGAGAAGGTGTAGGAGAGGTTTGCAGTGATATTTCAATAAAATCAGAAATCCACTGGATTCAGTTTTTTCATTGTCTGCTTTGATTATCACAGGGTGATTTGGCTCAAAGTCTAGTGCTAGATAATAATCTTTAATTTCTTAAAGAACAAAGTTGCTGTTACTAGTATCATTGGAAGGAAATGTTAAGACCATGGATTGCTTTCTGCTTAACTTCTGCTACTGGAATGAAACTCCACACTCCTGAGAATACAAAAAGAAACTGAAATGACTGTCCATTTCTCTGAACATTTCTTCATTTTTCTTAAAGTGGCCTGAGGCAGATGATAAACTGACAGACTGGCACATGCCTGGAAGGGAACTGTTGATAGTTGTTCATTGGATAGTTTTAGACTTTCATCCAACTGGTTCACTGTTCATTGGATAGTTTTAGACTTTCATCCAACTTGTTCACTGTTCAAATCAGTTGCTCATTGGATAGTTTTAGACTTTCAGAGAGAGACAGAGAGGGAGCAAGTGCCAGTTTCTGAACTGTTTCTGCAATAGTTCTTATTCACCTGTCCAACACCTCCTCACCATTTCTGTCTGTGTTAAATAGGAGCTCACTACTTAACCTTGATGGCTCAGTTATAAGTCAGGGAACTCTGGTTCAGAAACCTTCTTCCACAAAAAAAACAAAAGACCAGCTTTAGCTTACTTGGGAGATAAGTATCTCTGCTGAAATTTTACACTGCTGAAAGTCACCTAACCAGGTCATACACTTTCTCAATTGGAAAATAAGTTCCCGCTTTAGAATACTCCCAGGAACAGCAATCACATCTTTTTTAAAGCTTAAAGTGCGCTCGTGACAAAAAATTAAAACAAACAAAAACATTCATCACCAATAGAAAATCCAAACAAGCAAACCAAAACAGTCCTGCTAAGCCAGAAATGTTGAAATTGCAGTTAATGGAGACTGCCTTTCTTCAGAGGGCAGAATCTGTCAGTCCCTGAATGCCAGCTGAGTAGTTACAGTCCTTTTTGATCATCACAGTGTCAACAACTACCTTCATTCCTGAGATCAGTTACAGGATTTGTGGGGTTTGGGGGAGTTTGGGTTTTTTTCTGTTCTGTGTCAAATCATAAATCAGAACTTCAGTCATTCTTTGCTATGAGAGCCTTGCAATTTCATGAAACTGGGGGGGAAGATTATACTCTATGTAACAGTCTGGAAGAGGGCTTACTGTTATCACTTCATTGTAAATGGATGAAATCCCATTGCAGGCTTCTTTTGATTATTTGCATAACACAGCTCAATAAACCCACCAGCTTGGTGCAAATATCAGTGCAATTGCAAAGAGGCTTACAAGTAGGAGAGAAAAGATTGCATTATTTTGCCATAGCCCAGATGTCATGAACTGCTCACAAAATCTTCACCAGCAGAGTTCTCCAAGGCTGACGAATGTGTGTGGCGTGATGGGGAGTGTATGAACAGCTGTAGAAGACAACTGTCATGACAAAAGGGCCACTTCACATACTGTGGAGTGAAAACAGAGGCTTCTTAGACATCATAGACCTCCTCATCCATGGCAGGACTGACCTCTCCACAGAGCTGGCGGAAGGTGTTGCGCCTCAGTATCTCCCAGCCACGGTGAGAACTAGCTCTGGATGTGCTCCGTGACAGTGACAGAGCAGACACTGCTCTGTCTGCTTCCTTCTTGCACAAAGTGTCCCTGTTGGTCTCCAGCTTTTCTGAACCTTTGTCATAGTTATCCCTATCCTGAACCTTAAATGCCTCTGTGTACCGCATCATCTTGTGCTTGTTGGGATCAACCCTGTCTTCAATTCTGGAAGAGGATTAGAACAACATAAACTGAATGAAGTAGAAAAGTGCCAGTTTATCAAAAAAAACCCTCCAAAAAACAAGCCTACTGACAAAGACATTCCAGAAAAATCTGCACAGGAAACTTATTATAAGCAGGATGCTAGAGGCTGCTAGTACAGTTACCTCCTAGACCTTCATCCTCATCACTGATTTCAGTACCTTTGTCTGTTCGTGGTTTCTTGTCCTTTAACTCATTTCCCAGTCATGATTTAGCCTTTCCATTTTGCCAGCTGTAAGCAACTGGCAGACCTTGATATACGCATATATTCACATATATGCACATATTCGTTTATTTTCTCTGTTCTTGACTTTCCTCCTCTGATACTCTAGGGCTGCTAGCCTCAGGATGTCACTCCTCTCTTGCTGAACTTGTATTTAACTGCTCCACTTCCACCAGTCCTCTACACTACTTAAGTCCTCTGAATTACTATCCCACACATATATAAGGAACACCCATGTGACTTGACAGAACTAAATCACAGCACTCTTTTCTCACAGCATCCAGTAAATAATTGGCAATCCCAATTTTTCTCAGTGAATTTCTGGGACATTGCTCTTGCAATATATTTCTATATTCCATGCCTTGGACTGAAAGTGTTGCATACTGGCACCACTTTAGGTCTGCTTGTTCTGCCCAGTAAATAAGAAAATCCTCAAGGCTCAGTTTGTCTGCAAAACCTGCAGAAAGTCCTGTGCAGGGCCAGGAGTTGGACTTTGATGATCCTTGTGGGTTCCTTCTAACTTAGGATAGTCTATGAGTCTATGATTCTATGATTCATACAGCCACCACTCCCTCTTCTGGCTTTATCAGCAAAAGATGGCACAGTTAGAAAAGGCAAATGCCCGAAAGTTATTTCTTTTCTCACCCAGCAAAAATATTGATTAAAATCAGAAATAATGAGGAATTTAATGTTATCCAGACTACAGACAGTTTTTTAGTTCAGTGCCTAACCTGAAATCCTGGACCTGTGCCTTTGCCACCTGACACAGTCATTGCAAAGTATAAAGTATTTACTAGGTTCACTCCAGAAAGAAATTTTAACTAATTATTCCTGTTCTGATTTTGAGTCATTCAGAGGGCAGCTCGTTGCTGTTGAATGCCTGATAAATTGATTCTGCCTCTGCCATTTCATGTGTCCAAGGGACAGGGATGGCCAACCAAGCACAGCAGTGAAGTTCAGTGACACTCATTACAAGAAGTTTGAAAGAAAAATTCAGGTCTTATAACCCCTGCAGTTTCTGGGGTCTGTCCAATGTGACTACTGGATGAGAAGGCATCAGCTGATTTCACAAGGAAATGCACAGCAGAGCTTTCTGAGGGAGACAGTGCTTGTCTATCTATCAGTCACAGACAGAAAACAGACTGGGGTCTGTATTCCGTAAGGACAGCACTTCAAACACTCCCAAGACCACTGGAGAGGCTCTTTATTAACAGCCATACATTGGGTTCTTCTCATTGGATCCTGACATCACACACTCCAAGAGAACTCACCTGAGATACCATCGGTCCCCCAGCCCAAACTCCCGCCCACAGATTCCCGAGCGCGGCCACAGGCACCGCGGCAGTTTCCGCTCCAACATCACAGTAGTAGCAACAACCTTGGGAATGAGAAAAAGAAAACGCTCAATAAATTAGAAAAAAAAAATCAGACTCACTTACAAAAACATTAGTTTCATGAGCACTGACCCATGCTGTACTTCATTATAGTTTGTTAAGGCAAAAACCAATTATAGAGTCTATACTCCATTTCAAATAAGGCAGTCACTGATTTAGGTCTAACTGTGACATGTTTTGAAGAAGTAATGGTGGTCTTAAAACATTGTTCCATTTCTTTCCTTTTATACCTCATGGAAATTAATTGCAAGCTAGAGAAGAGGACAGCATGTATACCTATTTTAGTTGTCATCAGAACTTGCCACTGTGGCCACATGACTGACTACATTCTACCATTTGTTTGACTTCTTTCTCACAGAAAAGCAGAGGAAATTGATTTCCTCTCGATTAGCTATAGAACTGGTTGAATTTCTTTGCCTTTTGACCAAGACAGTCAGGCCAACTACTTTTAGTGCATCGAAAGACATTTCTAGCCTTCATGTAACCATTACCTAGTGTTCTATTCCCCCTTATCCAACCCCTATAATTATAATTTTTACACAGCAATGTGATTTGCAAAAAAAAAAAAAAAAAAAAAAAAAAAGAAAAAAAGCAATTTCAATTCTATTTAACAAGAGATTCCCCACGTAGGGAACAAACTTCTAGGGAGACACGGCATGGACAAGAAAGGCTGATGGGTTTCTAGCTGCTATTTGAAATTGGTAGGAATGCCCACCTTAACTAGATTACCTGGGCTCTCCAGAGCTCATCCTGCTCGTGGGCCACTCTCCAGTGGGTGTCACCCATCATGGCAATTAACAAGTTGAGCATAAGGAGGGTGGCAATGATGGCAAAAGCAAAGTACACCACACTGTACATAAAGGGCAGGTCCACATCATAGTTTGCAGGGCCATCAATGATAGTGAGGAACAGCTCAAAAGTGGTGAACAAGGACATGGGATAGTTGTAGAACTGCCCAAGGTTTTCAGGGTTCTCTGTCTGGAAGATGATGTAAAAAGCTGGAAGAGAGAAATGAGGAGAAAAAAAGAGAGAGTTTAACAACAGGAACTACATTCCAGGAGGAATAACAGAATCCTGTAAGAGATTCTGACCAAAAAAAATATGGTCTGGGCAGGACCTGCATGTGTTTCTACACAAGGATAACTCCCTGATTAGAATCACTGGTCTCCATGATAAAATGACCTAAAATTACCTTCATTATTTATTTATTTTTCAATGTAGTGATTTTTTTATCCTCAAGGATATAATAAAGCTATGTGTGCTAATCAAATTTTCCACAGACAAATATCATAATTGCAGTATGTTACCTTGACTTAAAAATATATGGAATTATCTGAATTATCCTAGTTTCTATGACCCTGGAAAGTGCAAGAATTGAAAACCAAACTCATGGTTTGAGAACAGAAGTCAGTACTGGGAAGGTGACCACGCTCAGAGAAATAGAAGCTAAACATCATCACCAGTTTTTCCAGCTATTCAGAAGTCAATCAGAGATTTAATCAAAACCCACACTCTTAATTCATACCAAAGCAGTTGGCAGGGGTAACATGATTATTTTCTCTTTGTAGACTCACCTGATGCAAAGCCCAATATCACCACAGCCATGAGCCAGCAAAACCGCATGAGATCTCCAAATATCATCTGTAGAGCAAAGGCAGATCCACCATGAGGCCCAACTGTTCCACCAAGTCACAGTGTCACCCCATGTAAACCTTTTTCCAGATTCTAAGACCATGAGCAGACTAAAGGAAACCTTTGCACTAAAGAGAGAATGTGAAAGTTCTAAAATGCTCTGTGTAGACAAGAACCAGTTTGTTTTATGTGAATGCAAAATTAAGCAAATAATCCTGAGTGGGGGAAAAGTACTCTTACAGTTCTCCCTATCTGCAAAGAGGTGCCAGGATAGCCCGTATTTGTCTGTGTCTCACACCTTTTGGATCATGATGGTGAAAGGTCCGAGCATCTGGAAGCCCCGAGCGAAGTACATGACATTGCACCAGCCCAGCACCAGGGCAAAGGACATGGGCACCACCTCCCCAGTTGTGCTGGTGAGGCGCATCACCATGGTCACCAGGATCATGCAAGCGTATGTGATGCTGCAAGAAAGCAGAGACAGCAAAAAAATGTTCAGTAAAGGACATATTAGCCGAGCCATTAAGAAAAATAAATCCAGAGAAAGAACACGCTAAAGAAAATGGAGAAAGTGACTCATCTGGCAAAAGAGAGCAGTGGGGAAAACGATACACAATATATTTATTAGACTTATTATGTTCTCTACTTACACAATGATGTGGAAAGGCCCTCCTAGGATTGTTTGTCCAAAGTATTTAGCTGCTCCAACTCTAAGGATATCTGGAATCTAAGAGAGACATCCTGTTAACTTAAGGACTCAGACAGTTTCCACAACACTACTAAATGTCATGGCAACCACCAATATTCACAGGTTCTTAGGGTCAGCCACATCTCCTTTGATGGATCAATTTCTATGATACTTTAAAATCAGAATGGTTGAGCCAGGTGGACCCTTCTGGGGATGAGACAGAGATTGCTGAAAAATCTAAGAATGCCTGGGCAGATTGGGAGACTTGTCAGAGAGAGGTGCCTCAGTAACAAAGACAAAAAAGATCTTCTTGTGGAATCAAAGGAGTTTGTTATAATTCACACTGTGTTGGTTGTTGCCTTCGCTCCAGAGTCCTGACTAAGCACAGGAAGAACAACTTGTGCTTCTGGAACACACCATAAAATCAAAACTGCACACTGCACTCAAGCTGAGGTCACACCAGTGCAGAGCAGAGGGGGCAATCACCTCCTTTGGCCAGCTGTGCCTGATGCACCCCACATAGGCAGAAAGCAGTTTACACTACCTGCTTAATTTTCAGTTCTTATTTTTTGAGTTTTATCAAAAATGTTTCTTCTATTTCCTATTATAATAAAATCAAGTGGGGGGTAGTTGAGAAAGGCTCCTGTTACAAGTCCAGAGAGTAACTGATCTCCAATTAATTTCAAAACTTTTCTCTTTATGGACAGAAATCACTTTACTCAGCACCCCTAAAGACAGGAATATTTATGGGTGCTGGGTGAAGCAATATCTGGGAATCAGCTAGACATGGATGGTGCTAACAGGAACTGTGGATTACCCTGCAGACAGTATTTGAGAGTGGGACCAATCCTTCTAATTGCTTCTTCCGCACCTGGAGTCTTACTAGGACATTGCCACAGTCTCTGTCTCATCTAATAGATACTGTTGGCAATGTCTATTGCCATAGACATATGTTGAAGCACTCAGACTAAAAAAATAAGCCCTACCAAGTAGTGAGCACAAATCCATGTTTGTCTAGTAAATAAAATCTGCCTTGATGATACTTGAAACTGTATAGCTGTTTCTCTTACCTCAAGGACCAAAATTACTACAGCTCCAATGACTGTGATCAGTTCCCCCACCAGCCTCAGTTCATCTTCATATGCCACATATGATTCCTGAAAAAAAAAAAAAAGTTAATGAAAGTTAAAATTAAATTTTAAATAAAGTGAAAGTAAATTTTAAAAGAGGATGGGGGAGAAGAAAGCCTGTTGTTACTTATAATAAACATGAGCAGACCTGGCAATGCCAGAGGAACCAGCCCAGCCACAGCAATGGAGAGCAGAGCACACCTCCTATTCCTCCCTGACAAAGGTCAGCTGGCTGAAAGAAGGGAGTAGGACAGCTGCAATAGCTGAGGACTGGGCAAGGATTGGCCTTTTCAGTTAAGTAGGTTAGATGGGAGCCCCAATGGGGGCTCCAACTCCTACAGCCACAGTACCTGAAGCATTTTCTGGACATAGACTGTGTTGTCCCTGCTGCTGGTTCTGTTGCCTGTGCGGGGTTTCAGAGGTCGGTAGACGCAGCACATGGTGAAGCACACCATGTAGAGGATGTAGAATAAGGCCAGGAAACAGAAATAGGGACGACCATACATGTTCCACTTCAGGCTCACCAGCTCCTTCACAGGTGTTAGGTCCAAGATCTGGCGTGCCTGAGGAAGAGAGAAAGAAGGAATTAATTGCCAAAAGTGCATTGTTTCAACAGCATTCACAAATTTTCCTGAGAGAGTGTTAACAAACTATTCTCATCTGCCTATTCAGCATTATGAAGCTGAATTTACTTTGCAAAAGTGGAATGGTCTAGTGGGCATTGGATTTGCCCAGTCGGACAATAAAGAGCTTTGGAAAAAAGAAATATATCCTGCAGAGAACAGCTGTTGAGTAACAGTGGGAAGTACAAGAAAAGCATATTAGATACTGGAATACATTTGTTCTCAGTGTAGGAACATAGAATTGAGGATGACAGAATATTCCTGTTAGTACAACAACACAAGTTTCTGTATCAGACGTTTAAAAATAAGAAAATGGAAACATTTTTCTAAAATATATTTGTACTTGTCTGATGCTCTATGGCTTATGTAAAAATACTGCCTTTCAGTTTCTGCCTTATTATCTGGGTGATAATTAATTGAATTGTCTATATCAAGCCTTCAGCTTATACTAGAAGACTGACCGAGTATAAGTAGGAGAGACAGGTGTACTTTACAACTTATTAATTTGAGCCACACACTTTATTATATATTTCTAGATTTACTTTCTGTTGTTTAGGGGACAACTGCAGTAAGTGAGAAGGAAATGTGAGTCAAATTTTTGTGACTGGGTTACTTTAAAGAAAAACTACTTGAGGCACACTGGATGTTTTTCTTCTCTTGCTACAATGCCCTGTTTCCTCTAAGTCAGCCAAAAATTGCTGAGTGCACAAAGTGCAGGGAATGTTTCCATAAATGGACATGACTCTTGAATAGCCTATGAAATAGGCTATGAAAAATCATAACGGATCAAAACGGCATGAGAGAGAATCCACCTATGGATGTTGTGGTTTCTGCAGAAGTCAGTATTCTGGAATTCTTTGCATAGGACAGTACATTTCATTTTCAAAGGGATAATACAAGTTTGAAGCTTACTATAATCTTCCCATATCTTAGTTCCCATCTATTTTTTTTTTTTTTTAGTTTTCAACCACTTCAGGATCAGAAAATGTATCTTAGTATCTATGTGTGTATGCATTCCCCTTAATCCAAGAGGAATCTGCTTCTGTCTGGGGGCTAAAGGTTCTTCTCTAGTCCAGTATTGAACTGGGAAGGGATGATGCGATGGGGTCACACGTGGCATTCTTCTAGAGAGGCAGCAAACATTTTGGGCCAAACATATCAATTGCAAAAAATAATTACCAGTTATGCATCAAAAAATTGCAACTGCATCTAAGTAAGTGTAGAGCATTCCGAAAAATAAATCATTATATCTCTTGGTATTTGGGGACATCTTATCTTCTGAAATTAGGATTCTTGGATCTGCAAGCACTGTATGAATGTTCTGGGATAAGAGAGGCCCAATATTCTGCTTTCTTTTTAGAATTACGGTTTAGTGTTCTAAAGTGGGACATCTTCTAAGCTTGTTATATTTTTTGACATGGACTGCTTTTCCCTGGATTTCCATATGTATCCCCACTCATAGAAATTTAGAGGATTTCACTTAAGAGCAAATGAATGCTCCATAGACATAGCAACTCTATAGCAAAGCTCTCCAGAAGCACAAACTTTAGTTAGAAAGGTTTGACTAAAATTTTGGTAGGTGGAAATAATACAGGGTGGGCAGAACTGTGCTAATTGAAGTGTCTTCTGATTCATTTCCTGTCCTGTTAGGATTATTTAAGGTCATTACAACTGATAGAGTTGTGTACCTTGAAAGTCCTAGGGAGATCTATCAAAGCTTTCCATTACACTCAGCTATTTTTGTCTTATTAATCCCTTCACAAGCTTTTGAGCCTACAGCAGAGATAATTTGCCCACTTTGTTTTGAGTCATAACCTGTCATTAAATGAAGGGAAAAATAGCAATGAGTGGTTTTTAAATGCACTCCAGTTTAGGATTTCTGAATGTACTCCTGTCTCATAGGGATATTCTGAGAGTTAATCAGTATCACAGGTACAGGAAGATACTTGCTAGAGCTACTCTACAGGTTCTTAGTGTATCTTTTGGCCTGCTGGGAGAAAACCCTTTTCTGTAGTTTGTTCATACCTAGTTCTTTCAATAACTTTCAATCTTCACACCACAGAAAAAACTGCATGTAAAGCAATAATAAACCCCTATACTTCATGTGTCCTCTGCAGCTCATGCTACAAAGTCCTTGCTCTGTGGATTGTATCAGTGAGCTTGAACCTTCAAACTCATCATTATTCCCCCTCTATAATCACCATGGCCTGCACACAGAATCCACGCAGTGCAGTACCTCTCTCTTCTTGGTGGATACTATGAGCTCGAGGAAGGACTGATCTTCAGCCCAGGAGTCAATCTCTGTGATATCATACAGCACAGTGCTCAAGGGGCCAAAGGACCAGAGATTCTGCTTCCGCTTCTGCATAAGGTACTGAAACATCTGAGGAGAAAAGAAGGGAGGCAAGGATGTCAGAAGCTTTCCAGTATATAGTGCATTTGCACTGAGAACAAATAAAGTTGTTCAAAGCCTTCAGTTATGACATGTTTTCCTTGAACTTGGTAGCTGTTGTGGTTCTCATATCTCTTGGGAACAATTACAGCAGGTTAAGAAGTGGAAGATACTTTTCAGATGCCCATTTGATTATTAGCTCATGCTTGACATAAAGGATGAGTTATTTTTACTCTAAATTCTAATCAAACTACTAAAGTTACTTGACAATAGACTTCAGATGGAATTGCATGTCTATTAGGAAAAAAATGTTTTATTCCTCTTCTAAGACATCAGAAAAGAGGTGTGACAAGGGAAATTATCCTGTCCCTTGTGAATCTACAGAAGAAACACTAACCACCTTTGTCTTTTCAGTGAGTGGAAGGATGAGGGTTTGCACTAAATGCTAAGATTTTGTCTGTGAATAAATGCCTGTGGGTATCCAAAGAGGTTTCCCATGTGTCACATTTAAAGTAATGAAATCTACACAACCAAGACAATAATTTCTGTGAGCCTTTCAAAAAATTACTTGGGCTCAATGTGTCTGTTAATACCTGTTTAACTCAAATGCTTCAAAAATTGGGAGAAAATATCTATTCTTTAAGGACTCATGTCTTTCATTAGGATAAACCAATTTCTTATAAAGGGGTTTTGGGGTCTACATAAGACTTCTGGGAAAAAAAATCTTGTTACTTATCTCCTACCCACTAAGAACATACACAAACACCCGTGATCTGAGTGATGTTATTTCAAGGTCTCCATTTCTTTTGTACAGAGCTACCAGTGTCACACAAACTCACCACAGTGTTGCCCTCAACTCCAGCCAGTTTGAATGGACTAAGCCCCTCATTGTTAGGAATCAGTTCAAGTGACCCTGGTCCCTCTTTGTTCCTGTCATAGGACAGTATCAGGCTGTACATGTGGCAGGCAAACGTCTTATTAGGTTGGAGAACCAGGATGTGAAGAACAGTGTTACCTATGAAGGAAGCAGACTGGATGAAGTATCTGGAATAGCCCAGCCCTGTGCAAAGACTGAGAATGAACTGATGGCTTTTATTTTCCTCATATCCCTCATCCCACAGCTGTTTCTAGTGAGAGAAAAATATTTGCATGCACGGGTGACAGCGTGAATTAAAATGTCCAGATCTACTCTATATAATTCATTGAGCCCCACAGCACATACCCAGAGAATCTTGAGCTCTAATGTCAGCTCCATTTTCAATGAGCAGCTGCACAATTTCTTCATTTCCCACACAGGCAGCAAAAGATAAAACATGTTCTCCTGAAATGAAAGGAATGGGGAGAAACAACATTAAGGATCCAGGAGGTAGAAGAGGTTGAAGTATGCTGAGGGAAAGCTATCCAAGCTATGAAACCATAGGATATGAAAGGAGGAGTTACTTTAGGTAACTTGTAAAATTCCACCCCATTTCTCATCCTAATCGGAAAGGTTAAAGAAGACCTGTCCCACACAACACTAAAAGGAAGAAATGTTCTTTACAGTGGTTTACCTCCATAAGAAGGTTGACAAGTAATTTGCTGCTAGGAAGACACTAAATTACAATTTTTATACAATATATGTATTTATTTTCATACATGCCAATCTATAAAATGTGTATGATTTGTATTCACATAACATTCACACACTCAAAGTCTTACTCTCTGCTAAAAGGTGTATGTCTGATGACACTTGGAGATAGGAGCCTCTGTTTATCCACTTTAGATGGGGACTAAAGTAAGGCTCCCCCACGTCCCCTCCCACTGGTTCCCTCCTGTAGCAGCAAGGGGAGAAGTTAAGGCTGTACCAAAATAGAAAAGGTTCTGGGAGCTGCGCCTGAAGAAGTGCCCAGTGGCCCTTGCTGTGCTGGCATTGGCTCCTCTCTTAAGCAAAGCCTTCACCAACATGGTGTTCTGGTTGGCTGCTGCAATGTGGAGAGCTGTCTGCCCTGCAAGACACAGAAACAAAACCATGTCATTCAAGAAAGCAGCTTGAGGCTGATCAGCAGTCTGCAGTTCATGTGTCAGTCATGGTAAATGGACAGCAGCTAAAGGAATTGGCTTTGAAGTTATCTCTGTTGTGTGCAAAGGGTCGTGCTAGAGATTTTCCAGAGGTTTCATTCTACTTAAATCTTTTCAGTAATTTATTACAACTGACTTTACAAATTGGCAAAAAACTCCAACAGGATACATTCTCTAGATTTTTTTTCTAGGGAAAATCAAGACATGTCACTCTCTTCTGGGAAGCAAACAGAAAGTTGTGAGATCGACTATGATTTCCTTAATAAGAAATGAAGATTACGGTCAAGACAAGACTCCCAAAGACTTCCTCTAATCCTTCAAACTAGGCTTTAGAATTTAAAAAAACCCATTATTAATATTATTATTTTATTTGTTTTGAGATTCAAACTAAAATTTCTGTGTAGTCAACCAGAAGCATTCTTTAAAAATCTGGGTAAGAGTCTAGCCTCAAAAGCCGTGGCCACATTTCTAATTTCCTCAACCAAATAACTCCTTTTTCTCCTTTTAGGGGAGGCCAGGCAGATATCCCTTTTTTTACTAATGTGTATGTCTGAAAGCAAACTGTATATATCCTTGCAATTCCCTGGACAAGGCCTTTGCATGTTTGCACATGTGTGTACTCATGTTTAATATAATTGTACCTTCCAAGAAAGGTCAGAAGCCATTTTCATGCTGGTTTTGCCATGTAACATTTCAGCAACATATTGAACCAGGAACCATACAATCCAGTTTCCCAAAAGTACAAGTAGCACTTCCTCTCCCCTCCTGCAGGGAATCCTGCCCATCCTCATTCCCAGTGATATTACCTTCATAAAGTTCTGATGTCATCCTCTCATTGATAAGCTCAGGAGCTGCTTCCATCAGAGCCACTGCTGCCTCCAAGTTATCATACATGGCAGCTACATGAAGGGCAGTCTCTCCCACTGCGCCTAGTAACAGTAGGACAAGAATGAGAATTGTCAAGGTGTTCAACTGTACAGAAAGCAGAGGAAAAAAAAAGCAGAAATAGATTCATTGAGGTGGGGAATTACAGGAGGGCTATGTCCTCCCTTGAGTAGTGCCTGGTACAGCCACACAACTGCACAGTCTCTGTCCTTCACTTCAACAAAATCTGAAAACTGATCAGAAACTTCAGGTGTCTGTAAGTGACAACTGATCTCAGGCATAAAGTGAATGAGCACAACCAAGTCAGAAAACTCACTTTGTTGCAAAGCTGCTGACACAGAGTTAAGTCATCTGAATCTGCTGATGCAATTTAAAAAAAAAAACAAAACTAACACACTGCTCACTGCAGGAAGCTCTTGCCTTCCACAGAAACCATTTTTTTTCAAGTAATCCCAGTTACCTCTCTGATAGATATCGCATGTTCCATCAGTGAGAAGTTTCCTAATGGCAGCAAGGTTGTTCTCTTTGGCAGCCTGAAGGAGTGGGGATTCCCAGATCCTGGAGTCAAGAAAAAGTGGCTGATAAGGAACAAAGTCAAACACATGGTGCCTCTCTCCAGAGCTAGCATGGCCTTTGTTCAAGACAGTTTGTATCTTGAACATTTTCACTGAAAAATCAGCAGTGTACATCTACCATCTGAGGTAGTCTTAGAATGCACCGAAAGAGGGGGGGGAAAAGAACAGGAAAAAGCAGAGCAGTGCAATTTTAAAAACACACTGAAATTCATAATCTCTTGGCTTACTGGTGCTGAGCCGTATGGTGGCAGCAGAGAGAAAGCTGTCTAGACCAAAATATTTATTGTTTTTATATCCCACTTTTTGAGGCACAGAAATAGCAAATGATGGGTCATTGAAGCCCTTCTGCAAGTAGTTATCTCAGCAGCCAGAAAAAGCCAGTTGCTTCTTCACACAGCACAATAAATTAAGAAAAGGTTTTTGTCTGAATTGCTCCCACAGTGGATAGAAAACAGAAAACAAGGATTCCATCTGTGTTCTAGCAACACTTCCTATAATTAAGAGATGGAGCTCTGAAATGTAGTTCATCCATATACAAAGTTATGGAGAAAACATTGACAACTTAGCTATACTACTTTTTTCTCTAGTGCTGAGAGAACTGAGGAAATTGTTGAGAACTGAAATATGGTCATGTCCTGGGAAAGAGCATGCATCAAGCAAGTTCCAGACATAGTGGGTCACTCATAGCTGAAGCATGTCCTTGAGTCTTCCATGAAGATCTGGGTTATTTGAGCATATATCTTTTGGGCTTGATGAAGAATTTATAAGTACAGCCATCAAACTTTGCTACAGCAAGGTCTTGGGAAGCAAATAACAGGTCATGGGAGGTGATCCCCCCACCTCTACTCAGAGCTACTCTAGCTCTGGTGAGGCCATACCTAGAGCCCTGTATCCAGGTCTTAGGATCTTGAGTACAAAACACACATGGAGCTACTGGAGAGAGTTCAGCAAAAGGCAAAAAATGATCATAAGAATCAAAAAATTATCCTCTCAGATGAGGAAAGGCTGAGAGAACTGACTGTTTAGCCTGGAAATGAGAAGGCTCCAGGCAGTGTTCCTATCAATTTATGTAAGTACCTGAAGAGAGCTTGCAGTGTTTGTTCAGCATCCAAACAAGGTTTGCCAATGTTCGAAATCATGAGTTGGCCACACAGAATTTAAAAAATAACAAAATCTACAAAATTTAGGTAAATATTTCTGTTATACTTCAGTATTTTCAGGTTCCTCTTTTAAATCATAAATTAAAAAATGTTTTGGTGTGGGCTTTATGATTTCTTGATTTTATACAAATAAAGAATTATAAGTATCCATATTCAGGAGGCAATGATTAAAGGGGAGGAAAGGCTCTCAAACCTAAAGAAAAAAATTGTCTCACGAGTTTTTCAGTATGAAATAGAAAGAGATTCCTCTCTCCCAACCAGACAAGGTCAGTTTTAGATCTCTGTTCAAATTAAAATTTTGTGCTTTTATCTCACCCCTGCTGTTTTCTAGTACAGATGTTTAATTTGATCTTAATTATCTAGCATGGCCCAGGTCAGGCTGCAATGTGTGATGTGGAATAAATCTAAGGATTACAGTAGAAAATGACAAATTCAAGCTGATATGAACCAGGATAACACCAGCCCTTGTTTTTCTACCAGCCTCTATCTGTCCCTTTACTACAGTATAACAACTGGCAATGCTTGTCTTAAGCACTCCTCCCAAAAACACATGTGGGGCAAATACATTAGTTAAACCATACACCTGCAGATCCAGTAAATGCTTCCTCCTGGTGATGTTCCATGTATTTCGGCATTATTTAGTTACAAGATTTTGGGGATAAATCCTACATAAAGCAATAGGTGCTTTGTATTAAGTAGTACCACTTATGTGAGGATACATTACCTGTGAATATAACTCTGTTATAAGGCACAATAAAATCCACATCAGAGACAGAGAGAATATAAATGGCCCATTGCAAAACATGTTTTCTTACAACTCACACATCTTAAGTACAAGACAGTTTAACAATAAAACAACAGGAAAGCAGGCAACATGAATTCTCTGGCTCACAGGAATATGTGTTTTTTGCTTTAAATTATTCTCTTATGAACAACAAGACCTTGAATCTATAAGAAATTTATATGCCATTATCTCTGGATTTAATCCACTTGAAATGTGAGAATTCTGCTCTCTTTTATAGTGGAAAGACACTTGAGAAAACTTGGGGATGAAGCAAAACAAAAAATAACAGAATTATACAGATAAAGAGAAATCTTTGAGTAAGTGTAAATTAATGGACATGGGCTACAAGTAATCAAAGCATAACTGAACATCATGTTTATCACTCCACTTCCTGTCACCAAAAACACCCCATTACCCAAGTCACTATAAACTAGAAAACCCCCGAAAAGCAGAGGAGAAATAAAAACATTCAGGATAACAATCCTCAACACATCAGGGAGCCATTCCGAGATATTTTTATATGTCCTTCACACTCCTAGTTGGGGAAGTATTCCTTCTATAGCTTACTCATGCGTCAATTTCATTACTAACTAATGACATGATGATTTGATGAGGAGATTGCATCTAGGATCAAACAAACAGGAACTAAATGAAGAGTCACTCTAAGCAAAAGTCTTAAGATTCAGTGTTGGTGAAGTCAGCTTGCCACCTATGCCACTATTTTGGCTAAGAAAGACTCTGTGGTTCTGGAAAAGACAAGTTTCAGAGGCAGGAAGTGGGGTTTCAATAGCATAAACAATGCTACAATTAATATGTTGATGCTTGACTGGGTAAGCCTTTATCCCTCAAATGACCTCAGAGAGAAGGAAGGATTGGGCAAGAGATGACATGGGAGGACACAAACACAATATCTTTCTCTCAAAAATTACCATAGTTCTTGTAAACAACTAATTAACTCACAATACTGCTACAAGGAAGTCAACTAAAAAATACTACGCTCAGCTTTTGGAAACTGAGGGCAAAATTGTCAAACATTTCTTCTTATTGCAGCAACTTCTAACTGGGCTTAAAATGCCAGAGATCTCAGGCCAAAGAGCAAACCAGAAAAGGAGCTCAGAAATACTGGCAAATGTCATGGCACACTGCTTGGGAAGTCTCAAAGGTTTGTGAGTTACATGTTCCTGGCATATGCTTTTACTCTCATTTAATTTTCTGTCTCATAATTGGGGAAACATTTTAACCTCATTTAAAACATACCATTCTAATTATCAACTAATTTTTAATACATTACAGCAATGTACTGAGCATATAAATGTCAAAAACTAGGGGAAGCAAATTTGCTAATATAAAAAATTAAATGAAGTCACATGAATTTAGAACCTTCAAAACATTTTCAATTATTTAACTTCTGCATATTTAACCAACTTTCTTCCTGAGAGATCAAACGCAGCACAGAGTTTAGCATTTTACTACTTGGGCCCCTTTGAGTGTCAAAGCAGCAGCTGGCAAAGTCTGTAACTTAAGTCTCTTAACAGAGCTGCCTACAGTAGATGCTTAGCTTCCAAAAAGTACCATTATGTCACTGAACAGTGAGGCTGGCTTTCAGAAAAATGATTCAGCAGACATATCCGGATAATTCAGCACATCAAAGTTAAGCTTCTCTTCTAATCCTCTTCATCCCCTTCAACAGCTATGAAATCAAGGAACATGATCTCCTGATTTACCCAGCTAAGTTTGTAACACTAGGCAGACTGGATGTTGCCTTACAGGATCAGTTTAGGTTAAGCACAGTTCCGTGGCAAACCAGTAATTCTGAGGGGCAAGGAGAACCACAAGAATATCCATCTGGATGTGCTCCTGGGTTGTTGTTGCTGAGCTAAGGAATGTGTCTGTGTGGAGGCATGAGTGAGCCTTGGTCATGCCTTACTATCGGCCCGTTTTCTTCACAGGTGATTCAATGAGGGAAGCCGTGAGCTGTTTTTCCAAGATAGGTGAGGACAAAATCAGGACACCCGAAAATCCATTGTGAAACAAGAGAAGATAAAATGTAGGTCACATTCTGACTGAGGTAGTAATGTAAAACAGTTCTAAACAAGGTTAAAGATTTCACAAGCACTTTCTGCTGGTAATATGTACCCTTTTAGCCTCTTAAGCACTTCTTTTGGAGTGCAGCGTGCTCATTTCACTTCTGGAGAGATAGAGAATGCAAAGACTAGTAAATAAGTCTTAATTTCATTATAAAAAGAAGAATTTTGATTGCTATGATTATTCTTTCAGAACAGGGAAATATTATAAGTATGTGAACTATCTGGACAACAACCAATCTGAAGATTCTATTTCACGACTGAACTCACCAGAAATGCAATGAAGCATCTCTTTCTGTTCTTCCCTTATCAGATTCTACAACTTCAATAATTTACTATATGGAATTTCCCCATTCTTTGCTCTAATTTAAGTTTGCTTCCAGCTTCAAGCTTTATGCCAATAGAAAGTCAGTTCCTGGGGTTCTAAAGCAATTATTTTAACCTAAGCTACAAATACATCATCAGAATATTATATTAGCTTTCTCTTCTTCCCCTGTTGTGCTCAGAATATCCATGCTCCAGAATGAATCATGAAATTGCCAGAGGAGATTAATCTTCTGCCTTCCTTCTGCTAGCATGTGCATGTAAATGTGAGAAAGCCTTCAGGAGGGCAGAGGGCTGCTCAGAGGAAGCCAACCAGCTGAAAGAGGATCAAAGCAACCACCTAGCAAAATGCCAAAGAAGGAGTTAGGGAATAATTGCAGGAAGTGAAAAGGAGCCAGATAACAGGGGCTTGGACAATCAACAGGGTCAGCAAATTTCTTCAGCACCAGCAACAAGACTCAGCAAGTTAAGTGGGACCTCTTGCTCATGTATGTCAAAGCCCCTTCAGCTGAGAGTAAACAGAGCTTCTCTGGAAATAAATTAAACAGGTTAATAATTGCCAATGTTACTAGACAAGAAACTGATAGGGAATTCTTATCCCTTCAGATATTTAACTATCTGCCACAAAAGCAATAGAAACCTTGATCAGTCATTTCCAGCAGGGCATTCTGCTTGCATTAACACTTTTTTTTTTTCTAATTCTGCATCTGAGACCATCATAAGAATAATCTCATGCTAGAACTGTTTTAGTGGTTCAGAAGTTGTTAGTTGTTATTTATTATCACTGAAGCAGTCACAAAACAATTTTTTTCCGTGATGTATAACCTCATTCTGCATCAAAACTTCCAGGCCTTGTCAATAGGGATTTTCTTTCAGTTTTATTCCAGGTTTGTGTTCCTTACCCAGTGTCTAATATATTTTTTCTACCAGCTTTTTTATTTGGGGGGAGGGGGAGGTTAAGAGCAAAAATGTCATGTTTTCTTCTTTATATGGAAACCTATGGCCAAGTTTAGGAAATCAAATAAATTGATAAATCTACAAATAACTTCCTAAATCTATGAGCCTTAGATGCATCTTAGGCTGAGATTGGGTTTGTGTATGTCTGTGCATTGCTGGGGAAACATGACTTCTGGAGGACCTTTATACTTGTGAAATTAGGGAGACTGTTTTCCACTATTAGTCTCAAAACTTTCATTAAGATGAAGGAGTCTTAGTAGAAGAAAAGACCAGAAATGCTGCTATTGATGCTTTTGATTTTATTTTATGCACAGCAGCCAATTGTTCTTTGCATCTTGACTACTCGGAAACACAGTTGTTGAAACAAGCTATAAATGAAGTGCTGTAACTGAAAGCTGGCATCTTTATTTCACTGTCACCTTTTGGGAGCAAACCAATTAATACTGACAGGTATTGTGGATTTCAAGACAGGGTAATCCTATGCTAAATTGGGATAAAAACTCAGTAATTTCGTTTAGACAAATGAACAGCCAAACTATGGGAACATCTCATTCACTACTGGCTTGAGAAAGATTTATGTAGGAGCTGAAGGCTCTCTGTGGCCCTGCACAACTCTTAAAAAAAACAGTTTACCTGCATTGGGCTGAGCTGCCTCTTTATTTGTGCCACATTTGTTTCCAGGATAAGCAAAGCACCTCACTAATATGTCTGGGACACTAAAGAGCCACCAAAGAATTTGGAAACCAAATGTTTTATAGTGACATCTTTAGAATGACCATAGCTCTCTGCAAGTTATGCAAATTGTTCCAGGCACCTCTAATGCATTAGTTACTATTTATCAACCATAGTTATGAATACAGGCAATAGCAGGAGGAAAAATACTACATTATTGTTATACTTTTACAGGTACTGTTACCATGCACTCACTTGTTCTAATTTATATATTGCTTATTTTTTTATGAACAGTGCAATTCTCATAGAGTGGATTTTCTAAAATCACATTCTAGGAGGAAATTGTTCACATTTCCTTGGAAACTCTTGCACTGAAAATAATTTCTAGAGGATCTATTACATTGTGACAGACATGTGATCCTTCTTCACCTCTGTCAGGCCCAAATTTTCATAAGGATTCATCTTTCTGTTCTCCGTCATTATGAATTACATTGAGGGATTATGCTCATATGCTTCAGGCTGTGTAGATCTCAGAGTTTCCTTCCAAAGATGATTCTAGAGAGGATATATGAGATGTGACCACTGTCCCGGGGGTTCCACACTGACCTACAGGCTGCTTAAAAAGTAGAGTCTTCAACAGAGAGGAACCAGAAGATTAAGGCCAAATAAACTCTAAATTCTCTTCAATGTTAGGAGATTGTATTGCATTTTCTGAACCTGGATTCCCCTGGGGAAATATTATAGTGAAATATTAACCCCCTTCTGTGAATAATGCTGAGATCTACTGCTAATAAGATTCAAAGGACTGTTTCACACAAAGAAAGAGACCAAACATTGATGCCAGGGAAGGTGACAACTACCAAAACAATCAATTTTCTGGTATTATCACCAGTTGTCAGACAGGAAAAAAAAGCTTTGTTCTTCTCTTGTAGACTTTCTGTGTGCCATCAGAGAATGCTAGTTAAATAGTAACATATTTACCACTGTCTTTGAATAAGACAATAGTAGAATTCAATCACTGCTAATTACTGTATGTATTCCAACATCATTTTCACTAAGAAGAACTCAAGCTGAAGCCACAACACTGCAGTTCTATACCACAAAATGCAGGACGCAGCAAAAGACCTTTTGGCTTACAACAGTTTTTCCACAAAAGCAGAGGTTTCATAAGAGCAGTTCCCACACACTAGTCACCAAAGGTCTTCCTGCTGTGTTTTTATATCTGTATATAAGTAAAAACGTGAAAGTAATAAAACCGGTCCTCTGCAAAATGTCCATTTTCTTTTTTTTTTCTCCTCAAACTCTGAGCATCCCCGGGGAAAAGAAAGGAAAGAGCAGGATAATAGGAGGAAGAACTGGTCCTGTCCCTCTTTAGCAAAAGATTTTTCATATATCGGCACCACGTAATTTGTGACCAAATAGCAAGAGGCTAATTTGTGTTGGTTGAAAGCTGTGGGAAACATATGGAACTAAAATGGAAGGGAACAAGCATGTCCCCATGCAACCCTGATTTCACAGAGAATATTGTGCACACTGCATGTGTTTTACAGAGAGCTTTATAAAGAAACAAAGAAACATTAACTTTGGGGCCAGTGGGATTGCACTACAGTGATCTAAGAGAATTTTATGCAGAAGGGTTTATATGACTAACATTTTTAATGCTTTCCTCCATCAACACACAAGATGTTAATGGCCCTGCAGCACATGACTCATGAGGACCAATGAGCAAAGAGAAGTGGCAATCTAACAGGAGCCTGCGTGAATGGGAGCAACAAAAAGGAAGGGAACAAACCCCTCTTGGCAACAGCAGAAGGCTAACAAGGGACAGGAGTATCATCAAAATCAGACTGAATATTTGGGAAAAAAACCCAAACAAACTCTTTCACTAGGAGGTTACTACAGCACTGCAACAGGTACCAAAAGATATGGAGGAACCTCTGTCCTGGGAAGTTTTCAAAACTGAGCTAGACAGAGCTAAAGCAATGTGATCTCTTGCTGGTAATAGTTCAGCTTCAAGTAGGAGGTTAGAGATCAGCAGAGCTTCCTTCCACATCTCTTTGACTTAAAAATATGAAGATAATGTTATAATCATAAAAAAAACCTGTATTACAACTTATTGCTTATTGGTATTAATTATTAGTATATAATCAATACAACTAATTTGATATATTAATATATTTATGCTTCTATTTTGTACTCATTTGGATCTTACAGAACCTGCTGAGAACTTATTTTTCAGTTACCTGTGATGTTTTTCATGAACACATCAAAATGTAAACACTTTAGCATTCCACAGAAACACTATTGTTCCCATTGTCCCTCCCATTTTAAGTGTATTTAAGTCCCACTGCTCTGAAGTAAACTGGAACTGGCTTTATTACTTGGTCAGAGGCTAGATAATGATATAATTATTTCCCTAAAGGTGTACTTTTGTCCCCCTTAATCTACTTCTTTGCATATTTTTATATATATATATATATATATATATATGTATGTACATATACATATGTATAGATTTTGTCCACACAGTCACCTTTTTGTTCCCGCAGATGTTGAGAGTTATGCGTGGAAAGAAAAAACAGATTTTACAAGCAACTGGAAGCAATTTGTTATTTGAGTACTGCAGCATTTGTGCATGCAGAAATGACAATGAAAACCAGATCCAGCTGTATTTCCATGAATAGTCCCACATCTCTGTATGGAGGGAACAACCCTGCAGAGCAGTAACAAACAGCCTTCAGTGCTCACATGGGAAGACACAGCCAATCTTTTGGATAATCTAAGGTCTAAGAGGAGTCACTGTACGTGTTGACACCCAGGTCAGAGGTCTGAGAAAGCACGGTCTGACCCAGAAGGTGACTGACCCCCAAAACATTTAACAACATTAAGCCTACTCTATCCCACAGTAAGAGCAACCTTTAGAGAGACAGAAAGCAAAATCCTGACAAAAAAGCACCACTATTTCAGCTGACTGCAGCCTACACATCACACACATTCCTAATAATAATGTTAATGATAATTATGACAATAATAATAACAATAATAATAACAATTAAAAACAAATCTTCATGCATTTTCCTGCAAGCTTTACCCATGAAGCAGGAAAGACAAGAGAATACATAATTAATTTGTGACTGAAGTACTGCACAGGGTAATTCAATTGCAACCTGGTAAATCTACCTGTGAAAGCAGATAAGATTGGAACTCCAGAAGCATTCCACCTTGAAAGAAGAAATCTGATAGAGAAAAGTGCTCCAGGGTTGTTTAAAATTTATCTACCGGCAGAAAAGCCTAAGGGGAAAGAGTGAGAATCAGCTACAGGGAGAGCAGCAGAAGAAAGAGAAGAAAAGAAGCGTGAAGTGCACCGTACCTCTTCTGCTGGAGTAAATAGATTTCATCCAGATGTTTATCCCAGGATTTTTTGCCTTGCAGCTTCTGACTCAGTTCACTCCATATCCGGGAATAGAAGGGATTGCTCTCCCCAAATAAAGGTACCCCCATATCACGTCCCTTTTCCTCTCTTGCCTAGCTGCCTGAAAGCCAGCAATCCCTACTTTGGGAAAAAGTCAGGAAAGGCTCACTGCAGGTCACCACTCCTCTGCCCTCAGTTTACAGAGGAGACTGTCAGTCAACTGCATCAGCTGATCAAAGTGTGTGTAAAAACACACAATAAAATCACTTGTTCCTAGCAGACCATACTTGAGCCTCATCAATTACTTAGTTTCCAAAATAGCCCAGCCCAAAGGTGTGTCTGATTTTGAAGTAGCTCGCCAGCAGCCTACCCCTCAAAAAGACCCTGTACAGCAACTGAAGAATTCATACAGCATCAAGGTCCTGGGCTTCTAGGCTTCTAGGATTCCTAGGCTATTTTGATTCTGAAATCTAGGCTTTAGAAGCAATCATCCTCCTTTTGAATCTCTGAATTCCTCTGGAAAGCAACATGGAAGCACTTTTGAAATAGACAGCTGAACAAGCCAGGCAAAACACCTTTAAGGTGAGTGAACATGTGGGAACGTGCCCTAAAAGACACAGGGCTCTGGGAAGGTGGCAGAGAGGAGGACACACCTCCCACCTCAGCTGTCTGCAAATCCCATTAAAGAATTATCCTTACAGACTCCACCTTCTCCACGTAAAACAAAATCACCTTACTCCATAAGCTGGAAGAAGAGTTTATGTAGATTAATGTGTAAACTTTAAATACTTCATTTTCATTTAATGTTCTACAACTCTCATTATTTCTTCTCATTTCTTCCAGAAAAATCTTATTTAGGAAAGGGATGAGGATTTCTATTTAACAAAACGGGTTTTTGTTTGTTTGTTTGTTTGTTTGTTTGTTTGTTTTGTTTGTTTTGTTTTCATTATTTAACAAAACTTGATTTTGGCACAGAAAAACATATTCATGGTCAGAGAGTATTTGTCTGCAAAGCAGTAAACCAAATATGAAAATGAAGAGATGAGACATCCTTCTTTGTGTGAAGAAACTGGAAGCTATGAGGAAGAAAAGAAAAAACAAAAAGTGGGAAAAAAAAAAAGAAAAATAAAAGGAAAGGAGAAAGGTTCTAGTTTATAAACTTCTTTCCCTAAAGACTTGGACTTGTACTAGTATTTTTGCACCTTGAAGGAATAGAAAAATCCCTTCATTCCTACTCTTGCTGTAGTGGAAACCAATTCTGTTTAGGGTGCCTGGATCTTGAAAGAATTAGACAGAGAGAGAGAAGTGTATAAAGCAAAAGGACTGAGTCATCTCTATGAAATTCCTGGTTTATTTAGAGGTTTCTTAGAACTACAAAACCAGGATTAACATCCAAACTTCTGTAAACTCATGATGTATGCTCTTCTATAAAATCATAAATTGCTACACAAAAACCAATGATTTAAGGCAAACTTGAGGGACCTTACCCTAAATGTAAAATTCACTGAGTTGACCCGATCTAGGAGGAAGTGTCAGGTTAAGCTGTAATAATGGGAAGAATATATTACTTGCTACTTTGAGAGGTTAGAATTTATACCAGCCAGGTGTTTTGAGCATATATTGTGTTTTTAATATTTTTTTTAAAGAATATCAATAGAGTCCCTTCTAACACTGTGAGGGGTGGGGGAAGCAACTCCTCTTGAAGTTGAGAAAGGTATTTAGATACTGAGGTATTAATAGTCTCTGACAGACGAACACAATCTCTGTTTTTCCCAAGCAGAGAACACTTTCCACTGTCTCTCCAAGGAAGCCCTAGAAGAGTGGTATCAGCAGGACAGGAAAGCAGTGATTAATTCCTGCCTCCTCTGGGCAGCGCTGCCACCCTGACAGCAGTTCTAGGGGACAAGAAGTGAAGAGCAGTCAGACATCAGGTCGAGGAAGGTGTTCTTAGCTAACCATGGAGGCACCAGCTGCAGCAGCCATGGCAGCCCCAGCAGCTGCAAACCTGTCTCAGGTGGACTCACCACATGGTGTGGGCAGCTCATCAGACCTCTCATTAGGGCTTCAGACTGCAGCAAAGCTGGCTCAATAGTTTTCCTTTACCCACTTGCGTGAACATGAAGTCTAATACTGCAAAAGAGTGTTTTCCTGTAATTCATGGTCAGGGCATTTTCAGCAGAAATAGAGTACGGAGATGAAAGGTGGGTGAAATACGTAAGCATATGGTAGGGACTGAAACCTCTTTAGCACATCATGACCATACCACTTAAGCACTGCTGGGCTTTCAGTCTAGAAGGCTGTAAATAATTTTATTCAAAAACTAAGGACCTGATAAGGCCTTGCAGTTGAGGTGTGGATTGTAGGTCTATACAGGTTTGGTGTATGTGGTTTTCCCTTTCCTCAGCTCCTGAGTCATGTTGTGACTGGCTTCTAGCCCTTTAGCTCCTGACATTATTCTAGCTCTACCTGTTCCTTGTTCCAAGCTCCTTCTGCAAATAGTGTCTTTATCCTGGCTGCCAGTGATGCCCTTTACTGGTGTATGCCTTGACTTCTCTTGTTTCTGAAATGGGGTAATTCTGACTGACCTGATTCCTGCACTCTCTTGATTCCAGCTTGACCCCTTCTAACAAATATGACAGCAGATGTCAACATCTCCTTCCACACAAATTCCCTTCCATATGCATAGGCCATCCATAGCAATGTAAGCATGAAGAAATGAAAAGCACAACCTGTCCAAATCTGTTTCTCACACCACAGTGTCTAACTACACAAAATTGAAACAGACCTGCAGTGGTGGAACAATGCTGGTTCTGTGCAGTTCAGTCACCCCATGGCTCTGGGGTATCTACCAATGTCATACATGGCACAGTTAGGATGTGCTGCCCTTTGCAGGACTATAGAAACTGAGTGCAAATAAACCAATGTGTGGAGATACTTCAGCAACAACCAATCTGACTTTCCCATACCTGCCATAAATACAAGGGAGGAAAAAAACCACTTTTGTCACTGGGGATTGTTATCATGCTAGAGACAATACTCTGCACTTTTTTTATAGTACAATCCATTCCTTTTAGGTCAGCCTTGAATTTTTGATTTTTTTTTTTTTTAAAGCAAATCAGAATAGTTGAGTGTGAATGAGGTGACCTTTGGTGAACCTGAAATTCAAGCTAGTATTTGCCAGCAATGTACTTGAGAAGTAAAAATTATAACAGGAGAATTAGAGAAAAACACTACAGGAGAATTTTTCACATAGTCTCCTGGTTTTTTTTTCCTCCCAGCCACCTTTTCAGTGCCTTCTTTCTTTTCAAAATTAAATCAGCACAGCTATTACCTGGCCTACTATAAAAGTAATTTCAGTGCTAATGTAGAGACAGACGTAATTTGCACAGTACATGGATTCCTTTCCTTCTGAATGTTCCTGACCCCTACATTCCATGTTCTTACAAAACTCCTGTTAACCTTCCTGGAAATTTTGAGTGCTGGAGGTATGTAAGATTAAATCCAAAGTGCTTTTCTGGTGACAAATCAGGATGGGAGTGCTTTTTTATTTTTAATCTTTCTGGTTTTATCTTACAGGTTTTTCAGGGGGAGAGGGAATTGCGAGAACTGCGAGATATTTTAGAGTTACTACAAAGATGTAAGTGTAATCTCAGTCTTTCACAAAATCCACAGGAATGCAAACTCTGAGCAGCAGGAAATGCAAAAGATAAAAGGCATTGTAAAAATAAGGAAACCTATTGAACCTAAAGGAGAAACCAAATTGACTGGGCATGGTAGATATCCCCCATTTTGATCTTCTGAAATTTTTTTTAAGGTTTCTGTTAAGCACACAAGATTATGTAATGAGTGTTATCAAGAGAATTTACACAGAGGGCTTTTGAAGAGAAAGGAAAGAAGGGGAAGTCAATTCATTTATTATTACAAATTGAAAATCTCTTCTTCATTTGCCTTCCAGATTTGGGCCCCCACATTCATGTTAAATAGACAAATAAAGTAGCATAATTAGATGCTTAACACATTCAGAGTCCCTGAGTAGCCAAGTTATCTTGGTTAGAGCACAGACAAGTTTTACCTGTCAGAGATAAGTATTGCTCCCAAACATCTGCCTGGACAAATTTTCACACAAAGATTTGCCTGTTCTTCCAGAGCCACAGACTGCCAAACCAATTCAGAAACTCTTATTCTTCCATGTCTTTTTTGCATATAATCTCTCTGAATCACATATATGCTCAAACCTTAAAAATAAAACCACATTTTCTATTTTTTTCTGAAATTCACAAAAGAATTTCATCATAAAAATTATCTCTTAAAAATTCCCAGTTTGGATATCACAAGACAAATTCTGTCATTTCAGCAACAGCAAAAACCAAGTGCACAGATCGCATTCCCAAGTTTACACTGCCACCTTAAGAGGAAGACTGGAAGTGCAACCTACAACCAGACCAGTCTTTCAACACTTCCCGAAGCCTGGACATTTCTGATTGTACTGCAATTCCTTGTCTGAAATCTCAACATCTAATAAAAGCTCTAAAGATGTAAGTTGTAAGAGAAAAGAATGAGAGCAGCAGAAGTACAGGAAAAAGCAAATGACAGAGAGAGTCAAAGTATAGAGAGAACACTGAACAGAAAGTCAAGAATTCACCAAGTCAGCAATAAACAATGATGTAGTTTCTCCATGTCCATAATGGATAATCTTCCATCTGAGAAGATTGTAATAATAGCTAGGCAGCAATTGATTGATGTATTACAGATACGTTAGGGAATCCTGTTGGACTGTGATATTTCCAGTTGTTCAAGTTATATATCTTACTTCTGTAGCATAGGAAAACAAAGCTGAGGATGATTGTATGGAAATGCACAGCATTATGTACACATTGATATCACACAGCTGAGTAATGATATCTATCAAAAACCAAAACAAAGTAACAGAGGAAAATAACTAGATATTCCAGAAGCAGAATACTAGCGGTGTTATCTCCACCAGTCTTGAGAAACTCTTATCTTCACAAGATCTCATCTGCTGTGTAAATATGAATTACTTCACCACCAGTAAATCACAGGTAACTCAGCAACAGACATAACTTAACAATACATTATAAACTATATCAGGGCATATGTGTCCTTGAAGGATTTACTCTATATTATGCAACTAATCCTGATGTGTAATTCCATTAATCCATCTTCTGTCCTGGAGGAGTGCAAAATGCTAGAGGGAAGCTGCTTGTAAATAAAATATTACACTGAATTCTTTTAATTAATAGTGTGGCCTTGTGTGTGAAAATGTGTGTGTAGTAAGCCCGATTAAGAAAGTTGAAGGGAAGTGATCTCTACTTCTTGACTCAGATTAGCAGAAGCAAGGACAGCTACTCGTGGTGAGGAATGGTAGCAGAGGCAGAGACTTCCCTGAAAGATGCATTCCTGAGGTCCTGGTCAGTTGGATGAGGGATCAGCAATAACACTACTGACTGTTACAGAAAAGCAGCACAAAGATCACTAGATTTTGTAAAACCTATCCCTCCCCCCCAACATTTGCAGCAGACTTTGTAACGTTTCCAGGAAAAGCCAAAAGAGAATTGAAGACCTCTGATAACTGCAGTTATATTGGCAGTGTGAAGGAGATCTCTTAGTGAAATAGGATCACCAAGAGTATTACTAATTCCTAAAAAACCTTGATTGAGGGAGTCAGTACGATTCTACCTCAGGGTGGAAGCCCAGACACAGATGGTTTTCTACTCTGTCTACTTTGAGGTCTAGCTCAGGCCAGAAAGCTTTCTCTGAGAAAGTTGGGAAGCTTATTTGCTGGTGGTTTACATAGTGACCAACCCCCAGCCTCCTGTCAAGGGAGTGTGTCCCATGGACTCATGTACTCAATAGAAGCAGAAGCATATTCCTTTATAAAAGGTGGACTGAGTAAATGTGAAACCAATAATCTGCTCCTGCAGATAGGGAACTGGTAGTGGATCCTAACACAAAAATAGGTAATAAAGAAAAAGAAAAAAGGGCTTGGATCTCCACTTGGACTGTAGACTGACATTAAAATCGTGACAGTGATGCCTTGAGAGGCTCCCTGGAAGAGAGCCTGGACAGTGTTAAAGGAATAAAGAAGGTATTTATTAAAAGGCCTTCAAAAGATGCACTTTGGGCAGTGCAGGAGCCCAGCCATGGCTCCACCCAAGATGGACAATGGGTCCCACATTTTCACACTTTTCCATTTACATATTGGGGTTAATTGTCCAAATACAGCTTCAGGTTATGGAGTCCCATCCTCCCAGATTGCTGTCATCCATTCACTGTTGTTTACACTTGTTGGGCCTGAAGCTGCAATGATGTCCTTGGTTCTGGGGCTGGAAAAGAATTTTTTTTTCCTGAATAAACTGTGAAGAGAACTTGCCAGCATTTCATATGAAATTCAGAGTTATGTACTAATACAGAATCTGGAAAATATGAAAGCTAAAACTTAAGGCATCAACAGTGAGGTATAAGATACTGAAATCAAGTCATGAGAGCCTTCTTATACAGATTTCCTCAGTGGAGATCTGGAATTTAAAGGTAGCCCAAGGGTGTTACCAGGAATCTCCAAACCAGCCTACAACAGAGTGGGAAAAACCATTATTAAAAAAAAGCACCTTACTATTTAGTTTTATTTTGTGGCCTGGAATGCCACAAGAATAGCTAAGTCTTTCATTCAGCAACTATAAAGTTCTGTGTATGAGTGAGTAGATCCTGCTTTTTCAGTAGACATTCTCCTTGATCCTAAAGATCAAGATTTTTTTTGTGGCAACAAGTGACACCACTTAGTACTTACAGTTCTAAGTTGTCCAAAGCACCATTAGGGGAACTCCTGAATATATGCTTTGGTGTAAGAGGAAGAATTTTGAAGGTAAGTTCTGATGACAGAGGTTAAACTTTGGTCCTCACAAACAGGGGAAATCTGGGCCCTGTTAAATGTTTGTCTTTAACAATATCCTGAGAGCAATTCCTGGTAGAGCCATTCAACTGTACATCTCAGGTTACATGGCTTGCTACAAATAATGCTACAAATTTCACAGGTTGTTTACTGCAACCTGTGAAGTCTCAGAGCAGACTGAAAATCCTTGGTTTTGTTTCTCTGCCCCACCCTTGGTCAGGTCCCTGAGTGTACTAAAAGGCTTTAATGGTCCTGACCAGCCTCACCTGATATCTCCAGCCTCATACTCATCACCTTTAAGTCTGTATGGTCTCTAACATAGCCTAGGTTTCCAGGTTTCCTCCTTTGTTCCCTAGGGTTTCCTTCCCCTACTTCCTCTGCCTTGCCCCATTCCCAAATCTTGTCAAGGATATAGTGAATTTACCCACTCATCCCCTGTTGTCTCTCAAGCCCACCTAGCCTTTAGGAACCTCATAGGCACTCTGAGTTCTACTCTGCAGCTCAAATTTTCCTATACTTTCTTCTCTTTCTCAATAGTCTGCCCTTGGTTTTGTGTCCCCTGAAATAGTCCTGTGGAAACCCACAACAGCTAATCCACTCTCTGTAAAGTCCTTTCTGACTCCAGAACCCTGAGGGATGTGAGGACACTTTTGCTGGAAGGAGACCCTTACTGTCGTGTTCCTGAGCATCCAGGGTTTTCATGACCCTGACCAGTCCACCCAAGAGCCTTCAAAAAAGCTACACATACACACTCTTCCCAGAAGCATAGAAGCCTGGTTTAAGGCCTGTCTTGTGTCTTCAGTTCCTGCCTGCAGAAGAAAGGAACATGTTTGACCATGGGCTCCATGGCTTCTAGCTTGATTTCACACTTGCCTTGTCAGCTTGGATGTGTACTTTGTGATAAGCAGGCCTTGTCACCATCACTGGAGATCGTTCTGACAATGGATTAATTTCCTGGCTTGATCTTAGACCTGCCTCACCACCACGAAATTTCTTGAAAATCTAGGCTCTTGCTTGAGCAACCATCTCCAGGTCTGCCTACTCACCTTGCTCAAGCAGTGTGGGACTGTACCCCAGATGGGAGGCCCCTATCCTGTCTGGTGTAAAGTCAGGCTCTGTCCCATCTCTTAGGGTACAGCTAGCCCTTGCAGCTTCCTAACATTTCCCTCACAATATAAGAGGTCCTATAAATACCTTTGCACTTGTTACTCTTCAAATTGCAGTCTTGAAGATTGTTGCAGTGACGTCTTCACCTGTTCTGAAAGTTTTGGCAGTAGCAGAAGGTTATGGGCAGATGTCAGATCTGACTGGTTGTTCTGCAAAATTACTTTAGAGAATCCATTGGTCCTAAAGTGAAAACAAATATCTCTGCCTATGTGAACTCATTGCTTTCAACACCAGAAAATGAATAAACAATGAAAATAGTGGATTCCACTTATGGTATCTTAAGACCTGCTTGCAGAATTTTTCTGGTAGAGAAGTGACAAAGAAGACAGTGGTTTATTGCATTAACTATTGGAAGATCTTTGATTCGGTGATTTTATCAGAGCTAGATCCCAAGCCAGTAGAGTTTAAATGGTCTCCTCTGAGAAAAAGCACAGAAGCTGGATATGTTCCTCTCAAAAGGAATATCCTGAAGGATATTCTTCAACATACTTGTTGCTGGGAAGGAACACTTACTGCTAGGTAATGGCCTGTTCAGAAGTAGTTGTCTATTAATCAGCTTTGATAGCTAAGCCAGGCAAAGTTCAGGTTATTGTGTTACTGTGTGAGTAATTCTGCTCTTTTTGTGCAGATATGGTATTGCAATAGTTAAGAAAGATAGTCAAGGGCTGCAGAACTCATTGTCCTGAGCTTCTGGGAAAAGGACTGTTATACACCTCATGGAAAATTTTATGGCAGAAACTGGAGTGTTGTACGCAAAAGGAAACTGATCCAGAGAGATGGCAGTGAACTAAACTTAAAATAAAATTTTATAAGCACTGAGAAATAACCAATCTCCTATAAGATGGAATTAGTTGGGTTTTATTTAATGCATGTATTAAAGTAACTAGTAGAACAAAAATAATTTATTTGTTTACTTATTAGTAATTTGTTAGTAATTTGTTTAGTTATTAGTAATTTGTTATACATCTGCTGGAAAACTTGATGGTTGGGATCTTTTTGTTTGAATTTTTGTTTTTCCTCAGATTCTGTTGTATTCACCCTGTTGAATAAAGCAGGATTTTTCTTCAGATTCATGTTATCTGATTATATTTTATTAGGTAATGAATTTTGGGCCTGATATAACAGGACATCCAAAGAGCTACAAGAGATGTATTTGCATTAGTGAATTTTTATACTCATCTTCACCAAGAACTTGAGAGAAATTGTACTTCACTGCAGAGAGAGGTATGTTCTAACCACACAATTAAAGACAGATGAATGATCAAAATTAATCATCACACACTTCCCCCGAGAATATTGGATATACCAGAAAGTTGTCCCCTTAAACAGATGTGCATTGATTAAAACTGAGTACAGAACAAAATTATCCTGAGAAGTCAGGTCTTTGGCCACTTGTGCATACTCCAGGCACAGCTGAATTTTTTTGTTATGAAAACTGTCCTGGAGATTTTGAAGTGCATGTTCACAGTGACAGCTAACTACTTTCTTAAGTGGAAAGAAGTTGCATTGACTTACATAACCCTGAATAGGACTGACATTTAGAAAAAACAAACTCTTAGAGCAAGTGTTCTATCTTCATGAAAGAATCTGAGAATAGGATTTGAAATAAAAAGTTACCATTCCCTTTGCAAGTATGATTCATTAATTTTCTCAGGCAGAGGCCCATTTATAGCCTCCCTAAAGTCTCTTACTATCATTGGCCATGGACCAAGCAATTAAATATGTTTAAATACTCCTTAAACTGCCTCTTAACCAAGGAATTTTTTGTTTGTTTTGATGATCCAAAATGACACCTTTCCCTTGAATGACAAACAAAAATACCACTCATGCTGCTGAAGGGAGTGTAGGTGATGTGACACAAAGATCACAAGGCACCACAAATTTGGTGCCATAAAACAGCATCAGGAGGTGACTCAGTAGTAACACCATTTCTCCTTGATTCAGCCCTTATGTCCCAGTGTGGAAGTGTGCTCAGTGTGCATCCACTATCACTAAATGCAAGCTCAAGTATCAGTGTAACACTCAACAATTGCATAGCAAATATAAATCATATTTTATCTTAGTTATTCCCAATGATCTCCATAGTGACTTCCCTAGTTTTTAACCTATTTATCCATGAAACAACAAGCTGGTGGTTTGGAAGCTTTGACATGTCTCTGTGCTC